AGTCCAAAATTAAAATATTAAATGCAGTTCATGTTGCATTACTTGGCAAGGTAGAAATATCACAGGGTGCATATATGTGTGTGTGTGTGTGTGTGTGTGTGTATTTCTTTTTTTTTCTTTTTCTATATATATATAAAACCAGTAAAGAAGAAAAAAAGATAAAAGAAAATAAGAAAGACAAGGCAGCTGTTTTGACTTCCCGGTATCTTCTAAAGGGACATCTCTTTTCTCTCTTCTTCCTCTCTCCCCTCATCTTCTGTTTCTTATTTGTTCCTTCCTCTCTCTCCTTAGTCTCTTGCCGTGTTTTTGCAAAAAAAAATTAATTATTATAATAAGATCTTCTTGTTTTGTTCTTTACAGTATGCAGTTACTTTTTCCCAATTTGTTTCTTTCATGTTTGTTCCTTTACTTTTTGATACAAGAAAGGTAAGCCTATCCATGTTCTTGATCTCCAATAAGAAGAACCATCAAGAAAGAAGAATGGGAGGAGATTTGGAGGAAAAAACTAAAATATAACTATGCAATAGATTTGAAAGAAAATTGGGTAAAAAAAGCATACAGATGGTATATGACGCCAAAGAAGTTAGGGAAGAGCTACAAGTGCATGAATACACAATGCTGGAAATGTAAAAAAATAGAAGGTTCATATTTCCACATGTGGTGGTCATGTCCAAAGCAAAAGCATATTGGAAAGAAGTACAGAGAGAACTACAAAAATATTGAAGATTAATATTCCATGGAAACCAGAATTATTCTTGCTAGGAATGCATGGACTTGATATAGAACAAAATACAGACAAGCTAATATTTCTGATTACGACGGCTGCTAGAATTTGCTATGCAAGAAGATGGAAGCAAAAAGAAACCCCAGATGAAAATGAGCGATTAATGAAGGTATTGGAGAAATATCACAGGGTTTTCTTGGCAAGACATGTTCAGAAGAGGTTTACCTTTGCCTTCCTCTGGGGCTGAGGGCACATCCAGACAGCACCTAAAGTGTGCATCCTCCCCTGGGGCATCCAGATGACATCTCAGGGAAAAATGAATGTTTTCAGCAAAAAGCAGGAAAACAGTGCTTTGTCCTGAGGTAATTTGACTGCTGGAAAGACGCTGGTCCAAAGACCCGTGTATTTCCAGGTGTGGGGACTGTGTAGAAGGGCCTGGGAATCACGGCATGCTACTTCCAGTGCCCATCTACACATCTGTCTCGGGTTTCTTGGCCTCCTGGAGCCCAAGAAACCCAAGACAGCTCCTACCCCCTTCTCAAACCCTTTTTAAAAGCCTTTAAAAAAGGAAAATAACTCACCCGGCTGCCATTCCCACTTCTCCAGAGTTCTCCTGGCACATACAAATGATACACCAGGCAAAGAGAGAGGAGAATGAAAATCACTTTCCCCCCCCCCTCCCCCCGACTTCCTTCTCCTGTCATATCATTTGGTATGTGCCAGGACATCTCTGGAGAAAGGGGAATGGCAGGCAGGTGAGTTTTAAAGGCTTTTTAAAGAGGTTTTATTTTGTGTCCCGGTGCCCTGCTGGAAAGCCCGGCAGTGCATGTGGACCCCCCCCCTCCCAGAAAAGCACGTTTTAAAAATGTGATTGCTCCCAGGTTAAAGGGCTATGTGAAACCGCCCTGAGAAAGTGTGACTTGCTTGAGGTCACCCAGTGGGTTTCATAGCTGAAGAAATATTTGCACCCTGTTCTCCAGAGTCAGCTGAATACTAAAACTGCTATATGTTTTGATATGGCCGATGGGCTAATCAATAATTTTTAAAAAACTAAAAATGCTATATCATGTTGTCTCAATTTGTGAAGATACCATGTTTAGAAAAAACAGTTTTCACATATGAAAACCTGACAGTTTTCATATGTATGAGAGTTGCAAATGTGAAGTCTCGGAAAAGAAACAGAAAAATCCTCAAAAAGAACAGATACCTTTTTCTTTTCCTGGAAAAATTGAAGTCTTTTGGGGGTGGGGGCTGTAAGCTTGACTAAAGTATTTAAGTCAATGTGCCAATATATTTACAACCCTAAAATGATGTAACTATGTAACATTAAAACTTTTATGCAACACAGTGTACAGCATCTAATCACTGCAATTCATGGTCTTGGTTACGGTTCTCCTTATGTTATGTTACATATGGAGAAGAAGAGGAAACAAATTATGATTATTTTTCTTTGCTAACGTTGATGGTTTATTCTGGCATTTTATGTGTTCTTTACCAAAGAGGTTCCATCCAGTTCAGCGCTCCATTTGTTAGAAAATAAGAGTAAAATAAAATGAAAATTCAATTCGTACTTATACTATGTATAAACTGTACTTTTAATATATCAACATGTTAATGTAATGTCAAGCAAAACTCTTCATAATACATGTTTTGTTTCTAAAGTAACAAAATAAGTTTTGTACAATCCCCTTCTAGATACAATATTTGGCTATGATATTGCCTGCATTTCTTATGGCAAAAACAAAACCATCCCATACTTTTCTACTTAGAAATAAGCCTTACTGAGTTCACGGAATATACTCCCAATAAAGTATAATTAGCAGGACTGGAGAAGATATTTGGCCACAGGCAATCCAGGGTGAGGCTGATAGGCCTTTTAGGTCAAAACACCTGGAGGGCCCTAAAATTCCCAATTGGCACTATATTTAGCATTGCAACCTAGATTAATAAAATATGCACTCTACTTCACTTTGATAGCAAATGTAATCCTCCTAAAGTGTGTGTCTTCTCTTTTGCCTACTTAGTTAAAACCTCAACAGTATTACTAATCTTTTACATACATACTTTCTCAGTACAAGTTCCTTTTTCAATAGCCCATTGTTGTTGTTGTTGTTGTTGTTGTTGTCATCGTATGTTTTCATGCCATTTCTGACTTATAGAGACCCTGGCACAGTTTTGTTGGCAAGATTTGTTCAGAGGCAAGTTGCTTTTGAATTCCTGTGAGATAGAGATGGTGTGACTGGCCCAAGGTCACCCAGTGGGTTTCCACAGCTGAACTGGGATTCAAACCGCTATCTCCAGAGTTATGGCCCAACACTCAAGCCACCACACTGGCCCTCAATAGTCTACAGCTGGAACTGCTTTAGGGGCGATCATATTCAGTCCCAAACGTGGAAGATAATAGTATATTTCCTGTTTTATAGTCTATATTTTTCTGAAACTGATGATGATGATATGATTATGTTGGTGGGTGATAATGTTTAACTTTAATACAGCAACCAAAACTCCTGAAAATATTTCATATTATTGGGTTCCTCAACCTGATGATTTCCAGATGTTGAATTAAATGCCATCACTCTCAGTAAGAAGAGGACAATGGGAAATTTATATTGTAACTTCCACTTGCGAGACATCAAATTGGGAGAGGCTGGCACAGATAACCACAATAAGGCCCAAAGGGGAAATATAACAATGTTAGTGGAGCTTAGGACTCAGGGCTGAGAAGACTTCTGGTATTTGGAAGTGACGGAAAGGGGAGATAAAGGTCTGAACTTGTGCTTCCTGACTGAGCCACGCCTGCTGAGAGTTGCCAGGGGCTGTAGTGTCTCCCATTGTATTGCATCATGTAAATTGAGGACATCAACTGATAGCATAATTGACGTAATACCTCTGTTTAATGTTTTCTTTGTGTTCTAACCCCACCCCACCCCCACACCCCGCAAAGATCAGGAAAAACACACAACACAAAGCAAAATCCAAAAGTCACAGACCTGATATAATTCCACAATGGTGTGCAAGATTTTGAGAACTTTTCATCAGAATAGTTGTTTTTCAAAAAACTGGATGTGGAGGAGAAACATGGAAGCTCACAATTTTGCTTGGATGTTTTAAGCTAAAATATCTGTGATTGAGCTCAGCCCAAAATGAGAAGTACAGCCTCAAGAAAAATCTTTCTAGGAATATGATTAGAAAGAGAAGAAGAATGACTAAAAAGCTGGATGTCAAAAACAACTGGGAGAAAGGTAGCCATATAACCCTGTTGCAACAAAATCAACAAGTTTCTGGAGGTACCTTGAAAACTAACAAGCTTTAATAGGAATATGCTTTTCTAACCTCCAACTCACTTGAACCTCATAATGTAGGCCGGAGTTTACAAAAGTTTATGTCAGATCATTGAATCTTCTGTGGTTGTTTGAGCTAAATCATAGTTATTTTAGAAATAGGGAAAGATTTGCTGGTATAATTGTGTTTTGGAAGCAGCTAGAAACAACTCGAAGACATACAACAGCAGCAACAACAAATATTAACCTAATCTTGTTTGTTCTTTCCAGCATGAAAATACTGCCTTATCATTATGGGCCTTTGTAGGTCTTGCCTGAAAACATAATTGGTCTGAGGCCAGCATGATGAGACTTTCGTTTAATCAAATTTTAATTGTTTTTGCATTCAAATCCCTAACATCAATCTAAGTGAGCCCCATCTACACTGCCATATAATCCAGTTTCTGAATCCAGATTATCTGCTTTGAGCTGGATTATGTGGCAGTGTAGACTCATATAATCCAGCTCAAAGCATATAGATTCAGAAACTGGATTATATGGTAGTGTATATCCAGCCCAAGGTTCAGAAGACGTACATTTAGACTGAGCCCAAGAATTGGTTGAAACCTAGAAATGGGCCCTTCCACACAGTCCTATATCCCAGAATATCAAGGCAGAAAATCCCACATTATTGAGTGTGGACTCGGATAAGCCAGTTCAAAGCAGATAATGTGGGATTTCCTGCCTTGATATTCGGGGATATAGGGCAGCATGGAAGGGCCCTCAGTCCACACTCAGATGATGTGAGATTTTCTGCCTTGATCTTCTGGAGTATAGACCTGTGTGGAAGGGCCCCCAGTCAGCTCTGTAATCTATTCATTGATGAATGGACTGGGCTTTCAACGAGGATCTATATATTTAAATCCTATAATTTTTCTGTTTTCTGAGTCGATAGCAGCCATTGCTGCCAGCTGCATTGTTTGTTGCTTTAACACCTTCTTTTTCATTTTTTTCAGGTGTTCACCATGATCTTCCTTGTGCTGTTTGTCTGGATTGTACCCTGTGTAGCCAACCAGTTTCTCAGCAGCTTTCTAAAAGCAGAAATTCAGAAAGGTTCTAAGCAACTTATATGTAGTTTGCCAGGGCCACAAGGCCCCCCAGGGATACCAGGACCTCGCGGTCCAGCTGGGAATATGGGAAGGATGGGCTTCCCAGGAAAAGATGCACAAGATGGAAAGGATGGGGAAAAAGGAGAGAAGGGTGAAGAAGGTAAGCAGCAATGAGCCTTTAAAACTCTGTAACTTAGCAGAAATGCCACTATATCCTCTCCAAATCTGCTATAAGAGGTAAAAGGGGTACTGCTCCTGACAATGGAGTAAGGGATGCACTGCTGGAAACTGCACACACACACACACAACTTCTGCCAGTGGGAAAGTTTGAGTGCGAGCTCCACTTAGGAATGCTTCTGCAAGCAGAATCACATGGTGTCCTAAATTAAATTGCTAGCCTCAATTCAAGTCAATTAATTGAACCAACTGATGAATACTCAGTCAAAATTTAAGTAACTCCATTGATCTTGTTCTATCCTGTTTGGCCTGTTGTATTTGGGACTGGCAACTGGGTTTGGACTTGTTAATGAAATTGCAAAAAGATATTACGGGCCACCAGTGGCGCAGTGGGTTAAACCACTGAGCTGCTGAACTTGCTGACCGAAAGGTTGGTGGTTCGAATCCGGAGAACAGCGTGTTAGCCCCAGTTTCTGCCAACCTAGCAATTTGAAAACCTGCAAATGTGAGATCAATAGGTACCACTTCGGCAACAAGGAAATGGTGCTCCATGCAGTCATGTCAGCCACATGACTTTGGAGACATCTATGGACAACGCCAGCTCTTTGGCTGAGAAGTGGAGATGAGCATCACCCCCCAGAGTTGAGCTAGACGTAATGTCAAGAGGAAACCTTTACCTTTTTTTACAGGCCAAGGATTTGTTACAAAATGGAAAGCTACCTCTCTCCATTCCAGTCATTGCTTTTTTAAATGTCTTCCTCTTTTCCTACTCCTTCCACCTCGCTATGTATTATCAAATGTTTTGATGCAGGGATTAATGTATGCATCATTTTTGTTCTGTTAAAAATACTTTATTGAAAAGAGCTCCAAACTTGTTTTGTATGTACATGATTCTAACATATATTAATTATATACCACAATGCTAATGGGGACAACACAGACACTGGCACTTTTAAGATTGTGATATTAGGTCAAACCATCACGATAAGAAGGACCTGTTAGTAAAAGTTTCTCCTGTTACACTTCACTTTCACTGAAGTTGATTTGTCTCTTAGGTCCACAAGGCAGAACAGGAAACCAAGGCAAGCCAGGGCCAAAAGGAAAAGCGGGAGCCATTGGCAAAGCTGGCCCCAGGGGTCCAAGGGGCCTGAAGGGACATCCTGGGAGAAGTGGAGGACCAGGAAAGAAAGGGCCCAAAGGTGTGCAGGGAGATTTGGGGATGCCAGGTCCCTGCAGCTGTGGGGCCAGTAAAGCCAAGTCAGCCTTTTCTGTTGCTGTGACCAAAAGCTACCCAAGAGAGCGCTTACCCATCAAATTTGACAGGATCCTCATGAATGAAGGTGGGAATTACAACACGTCAAGTGGGAAATTTATATGCAGCATCCCTGGCATCTACTATTTCACCTATGACATCACTTTGGCCAATAAACACTTGGCTATTGGGCTGGTTCACAACGGGCAGTACAGGATAAAAACATTTGACGCCAACACGGGGAACCATGATGTTGCTTCTGGATCAACAATCCTTCCCTTGAAGCAGAACGATGAGGTCTGGCTGCAGATATTCTACTCGGAACAGAACGGACTCTTTTATGATCCCTACTGGACTGACAGCCTTTTCACTGGTTTTTTGATATATGCTGACCAGGATTACCTCAATAAAATATAGGGCTACACAGCCAACATCAGCAAACCATAGCAGAATGCAGAGCATGAAATGTTATAGCCACAATGTATATGCATCTCTGAAACATTCTTACTCTATGAAATTCAGCCTAAGTGGACTGCAGCCTGCCTATGTATATAGGTAGCGTAAGTCGTTGTGTTTGTCTTTTTGTGCTAAGAATAAACTAAAGATTCACATAATGTATAAAAGGGAGAAGGGAGAAAGTAAAATACCTGTTTTATTAAGATTCATATTCCACAATGGAGAATTTGTCTGGCCCCAGCCTGGGACAACTTAAACTGTTGACGCGCTCAGTATCTTTATACCCCTTATTACAAAGAAAAAACAAACACTACACAGACACAATGCTTTCTTTCTTTTTCTTTGGAGACAAAAATGTGCTCATATCAGGAAGGAGTAAACATAAAAAACTTTTAAATACCAAATCAGATCATTTCTCTGTCTACTTCAGTGCTAGCTTTGATAGGCAAAGGGATTGAACCAAGACTTTCTGCCCTCAAAGTATGTGTTCCACCGTGACCTTTGATCCTTCCCCTGCAACCAGAACTACCTGTTACTTTAAAAAAGTTTCTCAAACACTGCTCTTGTTTTTTGATTGTTAGTTGTGCAGCTTGGGGCCGGGTTTAGCTGTGCTGCAGAAAAATCCTCCCAATCCAAAGGTCAGCAGTTCAAGCCCAAGTCAGGGTGAGCACCCGCCGTTAGCCCCAGCTCACTGGCCCACCTAGCAGGTTGAAAGCAGAAATGCAAGTAGATAAATAGATACCGCTTTTAGCGGGGAGGTAATAAAGGCGCACTTAATGACATTGATCGGAGGAAAGCTCTTTGGCATGGAACATGGACCCCTGTGTTTGGAGTTGAGCACAGCCTCCAAGATGCTGGAAATAAGATGGGGAAAACTGCCTTTATCTCTGTTTGTGTTGTCTGTCCTTGTTAATTGTATAATCGGCATTGAATGTTTGTCATATGTATGTTCTATAAACCGTTCTGAGTCCCCTTCGGGGTGAGAAGGGCAGGGTATAAATGCTGTAAATAAATAAATGTCCTAGTGGTGTGTGGAGCTCTTGTAAGAAATAATTGGGGTGCCAATGCCCATTTTCCCATTGTACTTTCCCTACAGCACTTTTCACATGTTTTGCATTCACCCTGGCATAGGGAATGAAGGGCTGCTTTGCATTTTGTCATTCCAAATCAAGTTATCTGGAAACTCAGATTTGGATTTTTAAAATCTCTTTTAAAAGCATATTGGTTAAACAAACAAATATCCATCCAATGAACCTCTCTTCACACAATCATGGTCCCTTTCCATATGAATGCATGCTGACTGCCCAAATATAACTAGCATGATTTTCATCATGGGGATCTCATAAAAGAGTTATCTTCATGCATACATCTTTCCCTTTTAGTTGGGGAAGGAGATTTGTTCCAGCCTCTCTGTATCGATACTGCCAAATTTTGTGTGCTGGTGGCCATATGCAAAAGTAACAGCTGTTTACCATTAGCATTGTTTTGTGAAGTTAATGATGTGGCAGTGCTTGTACACATGGAAATCATTTCTAATTGAACATTAAATTAGGGGGAGCAAGACGGTGCAACAATAAAACCTAAATAAGTTATTAGTCTCAACTAAAGTAAAACCTTTGAATTAGAGAAATCAAAGGTTGATTATTCATTCATTCAGGGATCTTTCACACTGGGTAATTATGGCAATATGATTCCATTTTAACTACCATGGTTCATCCTATGTGATCCTGAAAGGTTAGTAATTTGTTTAGAAATCCAAGAGGACCCCACTGGCTGAGGAGCCTAAATGCCCTTCCTTCCAATGCCGATCCCAGGATTTCGTCATATAAAGGCTTACATACTTCAAGAAACAAAGTTTACAAGGAGTTAGTAAAAGTTTACTTAAGATAACCAAGAAGCGAACTATACTATGGATGCTGTCAGACCTCATGAGTATTACCTAAACCATATATTTATAGGCAATTGACCCTGTTTGTCTGTGCAAGGATTCAGTACCACTTTCACAGCCTTTCCTCCCATTTGCTTATTAACCATAGCATTCCCTATCCCCTGTACTATTCTCCCAAGACAATACTTTTGGGACTGCTGTAGCTTCTCTGTCTCAAATCTGCCAAACAAAGATAAGCGTTCCTAACTAAGGAGAACCCTCCCTACAAGCCTCTACTAAAGAAGGAATATCAGCATGTTATAAACATGACACCCATCATCCAGTATACATATGTGTAGATGCATATAAGCAACTAAATGAGCAGCTACACAAAGACAATGTGGCATGGCTCAAAGAAACAAGGCAGGACTTGAGGTCCTGACAGTTTTTTACAATGTGGCCATGGCAGTTAATGTGGAATCATACTATTGCAATTATGTAGTATGAAAGAACTCTCAGTAGCTCTACTGAATTGGGACTATGAAGTAAAATTAGTGTGAAAACATCAGGTTAGGGCTAATTTGGCATTTAAAAATATGTAATCATTGTTACTAATTTCAGAAAATCTCCACTACTTCTAAATATACTGAGAAAAAAATATTTTCAGATTCATCCGTTAACTCTCTCTGTAATTACTAGAAGGAAATTAAGAATGCCCGTTGCATTTTATTCAGATTTATCATTGTGTTACCATTACTTGAAGGCATACACACACACACACACACACAATCCCCTTTAAAATCAACAAAGCTTATCAGCCAACTTAACAGACCTGCCACACTGAAGTTAAATCAAAGTATTGTATGTGCATCATTTCCTAATTAATACACATTTAATGCCATCTATTATGCACTGCCTCAGGAATACATTTTTGCAATCAATGTGACAAGTTTCCACAAATACAAATAAAATTGACCCATACTATACATTTGATATGTACACAGAAAATACTGCTTGTTTGTTGTGAGGCCACCCTTCGGACCCTTCGGGGTGAAAAGTATGGGAAATAAATAAATTTTAAATATTAAGGCTGTCAACAAAACATTAAATAAGATGTGTTGGAGTAAGCCATTATGTTCTTTACCTCTGGAAGAATACGATTTGAGAACAGCCACAGCTAGGAGAATGCAGAATATATTATTATAATGTATTATAATGTGAAACACCTCAAATATTAGGATGAGAAATCACAACATGAGTAAACCATAAAATATAAAATATAATGCCACTTGATTATATACTGTACATTCCCTAAAACCCAACGTTCAGGAGACTCTTTTAAGTAAAATGTAGGTATTGATCTGTTATTTACAACCCTGAGATTGCAGATGACCAAAATAATAAACTCTTTTAAAAATATACCCTCTAGTAAGGTACAGATTGACAAATAGAAAGCAAAGAACTTTAATCCCTGAACTAAAAGGCAGGGATGAGAAAACCATACTTGTTTCAATGTGAACCTATGAGAATTAGATGGAGCAGCAATATTATATTATACGCAGAAGGTATAAAAGCAAAGTCCTTTCATACCTTCTGTCTTTTTCAAGCTATTTCTTACTGGAGCCAGCGTGGTATAGCAGTTGTTCTCAACCTGTGGGTCTCCAGGTGTTTTGGCCTACAACTCCCAGAAATCCCAGCCAGTTTACCAGCTGTTAGGATTTCTGGGAGTTGATGGCCAAAACATCTGGGGACCCACAGGGTGAGAACCACTGGTAGAGTGATTTAAGCATTGGACTACAATTCTGGATTCCCTGCTCAGCCATGGTAACCCACTGGGTGACATTAGGCACATCTCACACACTCAGGCCCAGAAAACCTTGTGATACAGCCACCTTAGGGCCAACATAAGTAAAAAATGACTTGTAAGTACACAACAAGAACAAAAGTGCTCATGGATTCCCCAGCATAGGACTGCTTCCATGTTATGACTGCAGATTTTTTTCAAAACATGGACTTCAGCATTCATGATTGATATTCTCTGCAGCTGAGTTTTTATGTGTGTGTTTTGGGCTCTGTTTTGTTTCCCACATTCCTTAAATTTCATTTAGGAGCAGGAATAACATTGCCAAACTCAAGAGCCAGAAGTCCCGTGACAGCCATCTGGGTTGAACATAACCCCTCAAGCAAAGAGAAAGTCTTTTACCAGGCACCCCAAGTTTCTGTTCTTTTGACCCTTGGGCCCTTGTTAGGAGATCCAAGATCCAGTTAGGAGTTTTTACACACCTTACACATTTGCTAACAAAGGAGATGATTGACTGTGAGTCAATCATCTCCTTTGTTTAAATTCTTCACATATGTGAAGTGTTTTCCTTCTAAGATTGTTATAAGGTTTAATGCCAATGAGTCTGTTAAAAAAAGATTATCTTTCAAAACAGTTTTATACTGATAAGGTTTAGGCTATTGTTTGGTCAGAAAAATGACTCAATTGAAACTAACTTTCAAAAGCAGAGACTCCAGTCCAGGTTTCCAGTCCAACCCCAGGAATACACAGTCAAAGCACTCTAACAAATGGCCATCCAACTTCTGGTGAACCTGCAGCCCTCCAGAACTTATTGAACTGCAACTCCCAGCAGCTCTAGTCACCATAGACAATGGCGAAAGATGCTGGCAATCACAGCTTTTTTCATTAAGCTTTCAGTGTTCCTCTGAAGTCTTTCACAGCAAAAGAACAAAAAGACATGAGTTAGAGAAGTGTTTCTCAACCTTCCTAACGCCCGTGATCCCTTACTACAGTCCCTCATGTTGTGGTGACCCCCAACCATAAAATTATTTTAATTGCTACTTCATAAATGTAATTTTCCTACTGTTATGAATTGTAATGTAAATATCAGATGTGCAGGTTGTAGTTTCATTCACTGGGCCAAATTTGGCACAAATATCTGATACGCCCAAATTTGAATACAGGTGGGGTTGGGGGAGGGGGGGGGTTGATTTTGTCATTTGGGACTTGTAGTTGCTGGGATTGATAGTTCACCTACAATAAAAGAGCATTCTGAACTCCACCAACGATGGAATTGAACCAAACTTGGCACACAGAGCTCCCATGACCAACAGAAAATACTGGAAAGGTTTGGTGGGCATTGACCTTGAGTTTTGGAGTAGTTCACCAACATCCAGAGAGCACTGTGGACTCAAAGAAAAATAGATGTGGGCCAAACTTGGCACAAATATGTAATATGCCCAAATGTGAACACTGGTGGAGTTTGGGGAAAATAGACCTTGACACTTTGGGAGTTGTAGTTGCTGTGATTTATAGTTCACCTACAATCAAAGAGCATTCTGAATTCCACCAATGATAGAATTGGGCCAAACTTTCCACACACAGAACCCCCATGACCAACAGAAAATACCATTTTCTGATTATCTTTGGCGACCCCTCTGACATCCCCCTCGTGATCTCCCCAGGGGTCCCAACCCCCAGGTTGAGAAACGCTGAGCTAGATGGTGACATGGTTTGTGCTAACTTGTCTTATTGGACTAAGCGCGTCTCCACAGATCTTCATTTTGATCAAATGTGCCCATTTGGCAATCCAGCCCTTAGTTTTGACAACATAGACTTGAGAAGGGTAGATAGCCCTCCTTTTGTCTATATAGCAGTGTACTTTCTGGATTGTGGGTGGCACTCTTTCTGTGCTTAATTAAAAATACTAGGAAATATCTTGTAATAATATAAAGTATAGACTGGAAATAGCTTTGTAGCTCCAAAGCCAAAGCCTATGAAGGGACAATGTCTTAACTGGAATTACTTCTTCAGAATTCCTAATTGGCATTGAATGTTTGCCATTTTTGTTATTTCTGTAAACAGCCCTGAGCCATTATGGGGAGGGGGGGCAGGTTATAAATAAAGTTGCTTATTATTATTATTATTATTATTATTATTATTATTATTATTCTGACACAAAAACACAGTATGACACAGCAAATGAGATATATATGCTGGATTTCGTATCACAAGTTGAACACTTCCCAAGTGTCTAGGACAGTGTAATGTATTTTCGAATGATGCATGCAGATCCAGTTAAGGCAGCCAGATCGTCATTTTGTCAATGTTTATTGTTTCCAAATGCCAGTTGGGATCTTTTGGCACGGCATTCAGTGAGCTGATTGCTACTGGGATCACCTGTACTGGTTTATGCCAGGGCATTATTATTATTATTATTATTATTATTATTATTATTAAGGGATTCATGTTTTTGTTGGACTGTAGTTGCATCCGACATCTTATGGTGACCCCAAGAATTTCACAGGGTTTTGTGAAGGTGCATCTACACTGCAGAAAGTAATGCGGTTTGACTCCACTCATAACTGCCTTGGCTTAATGCTATGGAACCCTGGGATCTGTAGTTTGGTTAGGCACCAGCACTTTGGCAGAGAAGACTAAAGACCTAGAATCATAGAACCATAGAGTTGGAAGAGACCTCATGGGCCATCCAGTCCAACCCCCTGCCAAGAAGCAGGAAAATCACATTCAAAGCACCCCCCCCCCGACAGATGGCCATCCAGCCTCTGTTTAAAAGTCTCCAAAGAAGGAGCCTCCACCACACTCTGGGGCAGAGAGTTCCACTGCTGAACAGCTCTCACAGTCAGGAAGTTCTTCCTAATGTTTAGGTGGAATCTCCTTTCTTGTAGTTTGAACCCATTGAAATGGAAACTACAATTCCCATGATGCCATTAACAGTTAAAGCGGTGTCAAACTGCATTAATTTTACAATGTAGCTCAGTCATGGGCAAACTTGGGCCCTCCAGGAGTTTTGGACTTCAATTCCCACAATTCCTAACAGCACTGTTAGGAATTGTGGGAGTTGAAGTCCAAAATACCTGGAGGGAGGGCACAAGTTTGTCCATGCCTGGTGTAGATACACGCTTGGGCAAGGATTTCTCTTAAGTTGTTTTGGCCAATTCCTTCTTCTGACATATTGCTGGGAAAATATGTCCCGCCTGGGGCTTTTTTCCCAGGACAGCAATTTACAACGAAATGCTAAAAAAAAAGAATGGTATTTCAGAGAGCCCAAACTGGCGATAATTCAATCATCCCACCCCGTCGGGGTTCATTAACATAAGGTCCCCAAAATCAGAATGAGACGCATTAACTCCTCTGATTGCATTAAGAGGGTTGATTGATTGATTGATAGCCTTCTATTATGGCAGAAAGAGGCACGTCGCCAGGGCTCGAAGGTGGGCCATTATAAAGGCAGGTGAGGACAGCAGCGCGTGCAGCAGGACTACCATTCCCAGCAAGGCTCGCGAGGGGGCCTGTCCGGGCATGCGCAGTGCGGAGCCGGTGCGCGAGCGCGGGTCCGGGCTCAGTGAGCGTTCCATGAGAGGAAAAGGAGAAGAAGGAGGAAGAAGAAGCAATATGTAGGTGTGCTGCGGCGTGAGATGGCTTTCTCCCTTCCCACCATTACACCTTCGCAGAGCAGAGGAGGACTGGCTCTCTTTTCCAGTCTGGGACCAAGGAACCGGCAGGGCTGCATAAATGCCACTCACTGACTCTCCAAGGTACACATCCACCCGGTAGTTTTCCAACAGAAGCAAAGACAAAAGGCGGCAAAGGTAAGGAGAACTCGACTTTTGCAACAAAATCCCCGGGTGCATCTACTACACTGTAGGATTAATCCAGTTTGACGCCACTTGAGCTATGGAGGCATGGGATTTGTAGTTTTGCTAGGTCTTCAGCCTTCTCTGCCCAAGAAGGCTGATTGCTGCCTCAGAAAACTACAGCTCTTAAAGTGGTGCCAAACCGCATTAATTCTACAGTGCAACTTACTAGGTTGTTTGCAAACCAGCCGCTGTGAAAATGAACCGGAGGAAGGTGGGAATGGGGTATTATACGTATTTGTGTGTATGTCGTATGTCAATACCTTTTCCTACCCACGTTATATTGCAAAAGAGTTCTTTAAATATAAATTCAATGATATTTTTTCATTATAATTATTTCATCAGAGCTATTAATTCTGTCCTCAATTACAATTATAATGTTGGAAACTGCTGTGAGTTGTCTTAGGGGGAGAAAAGCAGTCTATCAATGTAGCAAATAAATACATTGCATTTAAGGTGTTCACATAAGGTGCATCTACGCCAGGTATGGGCAAACTTTGGGCCCTCCAGGTGTTTTGGACTTCAACTCCCACAATTCCTAACAGCCAGTAGGCTGTTAGGAATTGTGGGAGCTGAAGTCCAAAACACCTGGAGGGCCAAAGTTTGCCCATATCTAGATTGGATGCAGTTTTATCTCACTTTGACTGCCATAACTCAATGGCATGTAATCCTTGGATTTGTAGTTTGCTGAGGCCCAAGGCAGCAGTCCTTGTAAAACTACAACTCCCAGGACTCCATAGCACTGAGCCATGGCAGTTAACATGGGATCAGACGGCATTAATTCTATGGTATAAGTGCACCCTAAAACTTGCTTGAGTGTGTTTCTGTGTACGTAGGGTGTGTATGTGAAAAAATCCAGCCAAAAATTCCATCCAGTTGGATGGTGTGCAAGGCTAGATGACGTGGTGAGATGTGTTTAAATTGATGTAGGAGCTACATCAATTTAAACACATTTAAATTATAATAATAAAATTATTTGTATTCTCTTCTTTAATTGAGGATCTCAGGGCAGTGTGCCATTGCCCTCGTGTGCCAGGCATTTCATCAAGCTTTTGTGCCACAGTTGTAAACATGTTTAGTAGATGTCAAATAGAGCTTTGTAGTAGACACAGTGTTTAATATTGACTACTAGAATCGTAGAGGTGGAAGAGACCTTGTGGGCCATCCAGTCCAACCCCCTGCCAAGAAGCAACCCCCCCCCCCCCCCCAGTGCTGCTAATTTACTAAGACAGTTGTGCTTTAAACAGAAAACCAAGATGGAAGAGCCGTGGTGGAAAGGGCAACTTGCAAGGGACATCCATCAGACCCTGAGGCAGAAGGTTGGAGTTATAAATCACTCTCCTCTTTCTCTCTCTCTCCACTTTTATCTGTTCTACTTTCTCATCCTTTTTTCCTTTGGTGCTCAGTTGCTGTAGTCAGAATAAGTATACAAAACATTTTTCTTGCTTTCTAGCAAGAAATGTGTGTGTACAGTCACTCCTCACATTCTCTGGGGTTCAAGCTGCCATGAAAGTGAAAACCATGAATAAAGACATTGCTGTTTTTTTAACCTGAAAAAATACCTCTCTGCGTACTTCTAGGGGCCCTTCCAGACAAGCCCTATATCCCAGGATCTGATCCCAGGTTTTCTACTTTAAATTGGATTATATGAGTACACACTTCCAGATAATATGGGATAAACAGAAAACCTGGGATCAGATCCTGGGATATAAGGCCTGTCTGGAAGGGCTCTCAGTTTTCCAGCATGACTATATTGTCAACCTTTGTTGGAAACAGACCATAGAATTGTATTGGAGGACCAAGGGCCCTTCCACACAGCCATATAACCCAGAATATCAAGGCAGAAAATCCCACAATATCTACTTTGAACTGGAATATCTGAGTCCACACTGCCATATATTCCAGTTCAAAGCAGATAATGTAGGATTTTGTACAGCTGTGTGGAAGGGGCCCTACAGATTCATAGAAGGGTGTTCCCACTAGCAGTCTCTAGCATAACTGGAGGAAATTGACCATAGGGTCACACTGGAGGACCCAGAGAACATAATAAATCAAATCCGTGAACAACCAAATCAGCAAAAGTCAAAGCCTCAAATGTTGAGGGATGACTAATTACACTATGGATCTGATATAAAATGTCCTTTTGGTTCATCTTACCTTGAAGTAAGATGCATCTATGTTTGAAAACAACATCAGGGTTTGAAGGTGGCTTTCAAATTCTACTTTGAGCATTTTATGTAGAATTCCCCCATTTGCATTCTGAAGCCTGGCATCTGGGCAATTTATCTGTAATAGTACAGCCTTCAAATGTAGTTCCACTTTTAGTTTATAGCCCAGTAAAAACTTTGTAGATTGCTCCATCCTTAAGTGGGATGCTTCAGCTTCAAAAACCTCCACAAGGAGGCTGCTAAGGTCAAATGAGTGGTTTTGCCTCTTAAAACAAGACTGGATGGTGCCATCTAATTGTTGTGTTTATGCGTGGGTCTGCTGTCCAGATAAGTGTGTTCGCTTGAGGAAATTAGTCCCCTCCACCATTGTATAAACACTTATTCCAATCCTTTATTCCAGAGGTCTTATCTTCCCTTTTTTCAGGATGTACTTTGTTAACTCCTTGACTTCTGCCTTGTTCAGGACCTTGATCCCTTTTTAAACTGTATAAACCGTTTTACATTTTAGAAGTGATCAGCAGTCTTGTGCCATTATATTATATTGTGTTATATTGTGTTATATTATATTTAATAATAGTGACACTGAACTAATTTGAGTGAAAACAATATTAAGTATGTTTCATAGTTTTTCAGATCAGAGACTCACTTTGAAGTTAGATCACTTTTTATCATCTTGTTGCTGTTGTATGACTAGCCAGATCAGGGTGCTCTTCTGGACATTTCTTCGTCCTGCCTTGAATGACACACCTTCTCTGCCCCTCCTTTGTGTTGCCATAGGAGCTGAAACTGCCCACATACAAGGCTCACTCGCCACAAATTGGGATGCGACGCTATTTTGCTGACCTCTTAGCTGTCCTCAGCAAGCACTATCGGCTCTGCGCCACAGCCAGGCACCTTGCTGTCTACTTATTGGACCTCTTTATGGACCGCTACAAAGTTGATCTCAAAGAACTGTATGCCATCTCCATTGCTTGCCTCCTCCTTGCAAGTAAGTAAGCATTGACAGCTGATTTGTGTTTTTTTATTGTTGAGAAAAAGATTGTCTTGTCTATTGCATGCATTGAGTAAGCTAACAGAAGCTTTGCACATTACCTGTACTATAATAAGACAACTGCTTCACTTGAACATAGAATAGAATAGTTTTTTTGTCATTGTGCTATTTCACAATGAAATTAAATCCCTTCCCCAGCACACATCACAAAACACACCCATTCCTCCACACCCCAACCACCACCACACAGCCCCCAATGCCATCCATGTGAAACCATGGAGTTCAGCATAGCCACAGTTCTGAGCTATCTCTCAGTCTGTTTGTCCCTGTCTTTGTCACCCTGTACCATCTGCCAGATGGAAATAATTAAAAAAAAAATATGCTGGGTGACATGGATTCCCAAGAATGCTTTGAGCTTTCTTAAGGCTGCGGGACCTATAAAATTATTCCAAACATCATATAAATATGTGTTCAGCTTATGTTTGTGCAGGTAAAGTTCCTATTCCAGTATAAGGGGTTGCTCTGTACTGCTGCTAGATATTATGCATTCAGTGTCATGTCCTTTAGTCTTCTAAATGTTGGTGGACTGCATGTCCCATCTGCTCTACCCAGCATAGCCAATAGTGAGGGACACTGGGAGTTGCAGTTCAATAATAACTGGAAATCCCAGCCTTAAAATGTTACTCAAAGCTACATGTAGCCCCTACAACTGTTGAGATCTGCATGGGTCTCCCAATGTTTAGTGGGGAAGTATTGATTTTACATTTCTAAATTCTCTTATTCACATATTACCATATTACTGGACTTCCTGTGCTTTTTGGTACATTTTTAAAACAGGAAGCGATCTAGAAATCAAAATACAATCAGTGTGTGAAGTCCCAAAATCTTGGTTAGTTTCCTGTTCCTTTGTTGTGTTCATATTGTGGCAGATGCTTTTCTGTTGCTACACCCCTTATACGATAGTGAAAAGCTTGAAAGCATGTGCACCAGATCAGTTATATAGGTCTTTCAACATTGCATTAGAACTGCAGAATGAATTAATTGGGGATGTTTTTGCAGGGCTCCTCCTTCAACATTTTAAAAGGCATAGTGTTGTTATTAAACTGCTTTAATCCAAAGATGTGAGGGTTCAAAAACAACCTACAAGTGGTCACCCACTCCTAAGATTTAATAAAAGTAGAATGCATTCATAAACCAATTCAAAACAATACATACTAGGATGCACTAAGAAGCTGGAATGCCTAATGAGCCAAAGATGTTTTAACCTGATCCAGAAAAGTTACTAAAGTTTTGGTGATTTTCAGTACATCTTGAAGTGTTCTTGGAAGCAAATGCATAATTAGTGTAGTTGCCTCATGACTGGCATGCTATGCGCCCATATGAACATCACCTGTTAGGAATCAAACAGCAGAGCTTATATGGCAGATATCCACTTGCTGCAGGTTACTATGTTTCTATAGTTATAGAATCATTGCGTAGGAACAATAATAGATGACAAAAGAAAATATTTTATGGGTAGATGGGTCTCAAGTAACAAAGCTAAATAGGGGAGTCCCTCTTCAAGGTTATGTACTTATTCTAAAATATGTTTCACTGTCAATATATGAAAACTCAGGGCCTCCATGGGAAGCACTGTTCATGTTAAGAGGGCTCTCATAGTATGTGCGCACACACACATACACATATATAGTAAGTAAACTTTATTACAGTTGATGACTAGATCATAACAGGGGGACCCAGTCCCGCATATCCACATCAAACCCAAGGGGTTATATGCTTCAAACTTCAACAAATTTTTAAAATCTAGCCTAAAAACCACATACAAGTAATTATTAAAATCCAACTCAACTCACAAGATCATCCAAGCTAGTCTAAAGGGAGGTAGTGGGGAAGATGGCACCGGCATGTTAAGAGACATTTAGCTGAGCTCCAGTATCGTCATTGTTTTTCACATATATGTACACAAATATATGTTAACATTTCTTAGGCAAAGTCTTGATTTGGGGCAGTGGTTCTCAACCTGTGGATCCTTCAACTCCCAGAAATCCCAACAGCTGATAAACTGGCTGGCATTTCTGGAAGTTGTAGGCTAAAGCACCTGGGGAGCAACAGGTTGAGAACCATTGATTTGGGGGCTCCCAGAATCCAGGTGAGTAATTTAGGAGGGAGTTAAGTATAAAAAATACAACCATAGTAGCTGTTGAACATATCTCCAGTCCTTTTCTCCCTTTTATCCTGCCCTCCTAAAAAGGCTGCTACTTAAAAGGCTAGCAAAATATTGATAGCAAACAGACAGAGCTGTTTGAACTTGAAGAAAAACCTCTTGGAATCTGGACGAGGATTACGAAGCTCTATAAGCTTAGTTTATTCTTTGCTAGCATGGGCTGTTCCTCCCGTACTCTCCTGAAAGGTGGTGATTTTGGGGCTGTTAAACACAGCTCAAAGGAAGGGGATCAGGTTTAGGATTGTGGTCTTGGATATTGAATATTTTCTGTTCTAATTTAACATCACATAAAAATTAACCTTAAAAAAAGAAATCCTCTACCCACATAGAACAGAATCTTGTTGCACCATCAGCTGATGCTTACAGTAGGTCCTTAGTGCCTGCTGGGGTTCGGTATGCACACACATCCCATGGATTCTATAATCTGGATGCTCACGTCCCATTCTATACAACAGCATATTAAGTTTCAGTTCTGACTGCATAGACAACATAAAAGATTATCAGTCTTAAGAAGAGAATAGTGCCTTAATCTCCCTGAATGTTTTGTTCAATATTTGTGTACACCAAGACCTGTAGTTGAGAGCTCTTTGGATGAATGGAAATATTAATATGTTCCGCCATATATTTCTGTGTTCTGCAACAAGGATTGATAGATTTTTACTTCAAGATCAGGGCATTGTGGTTTTTTTTAGTGTCAGAAGTGACTTGAGGAACTGCAAGTCACTTCTGGTGTGAGGGAATTGGCCGTCTGCAAGGACATTGCCTGGGGGATGGCCAGATGTTTTACCATCCTGTGGGAAGCTTCTCTCATGTTCCCGCATGAGAAGCTGAAGCCGACAGGTGGGAGCTCACCCAGCTCCCTGGATTCAAACCACTGACCTTCAGGTCAGCAGTTCAGCTGGCACAAGGGTTTAACCCATTGCGCCGCCACAGCTCCTTGGGTACGATGGTGAGCAAGTGATAATAATGGTGATGTGTCATTATTTTAATAAAGGGTTGTTCCTGGTATTTGATTAGGAGATGGTGATGTTTTCTAATTACCAATTTATAAAATTCATTATGATACTGTCCCCTCTCAACAGGTAAATTTGAAGAGAAGGAGAAAAGAGTGCCAAAGCTAGAACAGTTGAACGACTTTGCTTCCACATCCCACCTTAACCTGGTGCTAACAAAGAAAGATCTACTGAAAGTGGAACTGCTGCTCCTGGAAACATTTGACTGGAATCTGTGTCTGCCAACACCAGCACACTACATTGATTACTACCTCTTTGCCTCTGTTACTGAAAGTGACCTACACAATGGCTGGGCCTTCACATCCATGACCGAAGCCAGAACTTTCATTAATAAATACTTTCATTATTTCCTGTCGGTCTCGCTGCAAGGTAACCACACTTGTCAAGATGACAGCATTCGTTGGTAATTGGGGAATAAATGTGGTATGTCCTAGTGAATATACCACTAAAGAGACTAGCACACTTCAGAACATTATTCAGGATCTGTGAAATACAGCTAACCCATATTATTGGTGTACGATTTTGACCAACATGAGATAAACCCAGTGAAATCAAGGGCATTTAAGTAGCTATGATAAATTTGAGTCCCATGGGTGAGGGTGGATGTGTTCAAAATATGACAATCACTTTCCAACCTATTTATTTTGTCACTTTTCTTTGAGCAAAAATGCCAATTTTAGCATTGAGGCAGCAGGTTTTTGTCATCTTGAAGATTTATTTCTTTATTGTGTCAGGAGTGAACTGAGAATACAGTTATAATTTATAGAAAAACCATAAACAAAGTTTTAAAAATTGGCATTATGTTAAATGTTCTTTGACCAGAAACTGGCCACTTGGAGTACCTCTGGTGTCGCTGTGAGAAGGTCCTTCATTTTACCTGTGGCAGGGCTCAGACTGCATTGTAGTAGATGGTCTGTGGTTTGCTCTTCTGCCCACTCGCATGTTGTGGACTTCACTTTGTAGCCCCATTTCTTAAGATTGGCTCTGCATCTCGTGGTACCAAAGTGCAGTCTGTTCAGTGCCTTCCAAGTCGCTCCGTCTTCTGTGTGCCCAGGAGGGAGTTTCTCATCTGGTATCAGTCATTGGTTGAGGTTCTGTGTTTTAGCCTGCCACTTTTGGACTCTCGCTTGCTGAGGTGTTCCTGCAAGTATCTCTGTAAATCTTAGGAAGCTATTTCTTGATTTAAGGTGTTGGCTTGTTGGCTGATACCTGAACAGAGGATGGGCCAGAGATGTCACTGCCTAGGTCCTTTTGTTACAGGCTGCTACTTCCCGGCAGATGTCAGGTGGTGCAATACCAGCTAAACAGTATAATTTCTCCAGTGGTGAAGGGTGCAGACACCCCGTGATAATGCGGCATGTCTCATTAAGAGCCACATCCACTGTTTTAGCGTGGTGAGATGTGTTCCACACTGGGCATGTATACTCAGCAGCAGAGTAGCAAAGTGCAAGGGCAGATATCTTCATTATATCTGATTGTCATCCCCAGGCTGTGCCAGTCAGTTTCATATGATATTATTTCTTTTGCCCACTTTTTGCTTGATATCTTCAAGCTGAACTGAGTTAAGGAGATTCCAAAAGGTGGTTTTGTTCACTTCTGCCTGAGGTGTAACACACAAAACCAGAATATGTGATAGTTTGCTTTTAAAGTATAGGAGTACTATTTATTTATCGTGTCATCAGCAACCATTGTATTACAATTCTAACAGAGCAAAACAAACACAGAGATAAAAAGAAAAAAAGAAAAAAAAGGAAGAAAAAAAACCACATAGATTTTGCAAATTTGGTATTTGGTTAAATGTCCTTTGACCAGTATCTGGCCACTTGGAGTGCCTCTGGGGTTGCCGCAAGAAGGTCCTCCATCGTGCATGTGGCAGGGCTCAGGGTGCATTGCAGCAGGTGGTCAGTGGTTTGTTCTTCTCCGCACTCGCATGCCGAGGATTCCACCCTGTAGCCCCATTTCTTAAGATTGGCTCTGCATCTCGTGGTGCCAGAGCGCAGTCTGTTCAGCGCCTTCCAAGTCGCCCAGTCTTCTGAGTGCCCAGGGGGGAGTCTCTCATCTGGTATCACCCATGAATTGAGGTACTGGGTTTGGGCCTGATTTGAGTGTATGTGTACTCGTATATGTGTTTGAAATGAAGTCCAACTGAATTTGTTCAGACATTGCTAATAAATGTCTGCGTCCATAGATATCAAAAAACCATAACCTTCAACCAAGCTTAGAGAGGAAAGTGTAATAATAGTTTGCCCATTTTTGGATTGAAAGTCCTTGCTCCCAATCTCATTAATTTTTCTCTTCCAGACCATGTTTTCCTCTCCTTCCGGCCTTCTCTGGTCGCCGCTGCTTGTGTGGGTGCCACACGAATCTGCCTCAACTTCTCTCCTGCTTGGACCCTGCCGCTCCAGGAGCTCACACAGTATTCCTGGGAGAACGTTACTCCATGCATTGAACTCATGCTTATGTAAGTTCTAAACAAAAACAGACCACCTGTCATACTCTCTTTAATGAGAAGTACAGTAAGAAGAGCATTCCTGTCTACCATCATGGAACTAAGCACAGCTTCCAGTGTGACAACTCTTATTTAAAACTCACCCACTCTTTGAACTGGAGTAGAAACTTCAAAAATAAACTACATCCCCGACGAGTATGTGTGTGCACTGTGGGCTATTGTGAGATACTGTTGAGTCTTTAGCCAGCTTTTTAAGCCTTCTGTGAAGAATATGTATGCCCCTCCCCCAGATGATGGACTACAACTCCCATGATCCTTCAGCTTTTGATGGAAGACTGTATTTCTGTACATACACACAGCAACACACTCACACACCTTTGTATGGTTTCAGTGCAGTCAAGGAAATGAATTCTGAAGTTTAGTTCATGATAGGAGAACTTATTCAATCCTGATGTTTCGGACTACAACTCTCATGAGTCCCAGTTAGTATCTATGCATGCATATCCTAACCTATTTCTGCTGTCAAATATTCTTACTGTAGTTCTGTAACATGCACCCAAAAGCTCAGAAAACATTGTCCACTGTGGCGGTTGAATTGCCCATCACACAATCTCTTCACCACATTCCATAGATAACCTTATGCATGGCACAACTGAACTATTCCTCTCCTCCCCCCCACCCCCCCCTTCCCTCCCCCCCCCCCCCCCCCCCCCCCAGAGCTAGCCTACTAGTCTCACTTCTGGACTTGGGTCACAAGAATGCAAATGCTATCTGGCTATACTCAAAGTTACAGCGTTTTTGTAAGTTCTGTGTTATTGGAAAAATAGTACTGGAATTTTCCACATCTTCAAAAGACCTGGTATGATCATAGACCCCCATCACCCTGCCCTGAAAATAGGATTGGAGGCTGACATAATGCTCATTTTGTGAATGCTGTTCTACCAGTTTGCCTCTCTGCAACACAGTGCATCTTTAGCACCCCCTTGCTTTATTTTTTCTTGAACAGAGCCCATGAGAAGGATGTCAAAGAAGCCAACAAGGAAAAAGATCAAGCAACTCTACTATGGGAGAAGCAGCTTGTGGAAAGCCTGACTTTCCAGACCCCAACACAGGTTCTTTTCCAGCCATCCAATTGCCATCATCCTCTGGCTCAGCAACACAGCGTCTTCTCACAGTTCTACTCTCCGATGCAGGATCTGTTCTCAACTTACCGGCAGTCCTTACTAGCTCCTCAGTCAAGCAGCCTTGCCTCAGGAAGTGGCAGTTCACTGCCTTCATCCTCCACCGCCAACTCTGAGCCTGTTGGTTTCCAAACCGTGTCCATTCAAGGGCCTGCAGTCACTATGCAGGTGGCAGTCTCAGAGGAGCCAATTCACTGTCTGTCTTTGATCCTTGGCAGTAGCTATTTCAGCAGCTACCATTCGTGCACAGCAGGCTGTCTCGATGGGCAAAGGAAGATGGGAGAAAAAGACACTACAGTAGGGAGAGGGGCATAATGTCAGTGAATTGCACTTGCACCCCAGAAGGAAGAGGCTCCGGAGGAACTGTTTGGATCAAGCAAATCTATTAATAGAAACCTGTTTTAACAACAACAAAAAACTCAAGAACAAGACTTGGAGAAAATAAATGCAAAAATGTATACCTCACAATTCAAGATGCTACTTTTCCAGTGATACTATTGATTGAAATGGGCTTCTTCCCCCTCTGCTCCCTGGTGCCAATGAACCGGGCATCGTGTGATTTTAAATTACTACTTTTGGAAAAGGGAGCCAGGAGAAACATCTGCCATTAGACTTTTTGCTGCAAAATGCCTTCCCTATGAAGCCTGTTTAAAGTTGCTGTTCTGAACATGTTGACACGTAGCACAGCTTTTCTTTTCAAACGGGAATAATCAATGAAGGATGCTTCTCACCTTACTTTCACTGGAGCTTGCACAAAGCAAGGTATTAAACCTAAATATCAGCACAAAGAATTGTCAACTACTTTGGCCTTAAAATCTCAGGAAAACTAGGGAACCATCAGTAGACAAAATGCCACTAGGGTCTCATGTTCAGTCTTTTTCTTAAATGCAGTTAGAAATTACCTCTGCCTATTAAATATGCTGCTGTTTTAAGAAGTCAGTGATCACTTTTTGGAAAAACATGGTTTACAGGTTATATCAGGGATTAATGTTTACTTGAACACACATCTTTTAAATATATATATGTATTTGAAGGGCTTTCTGTCTTCTAGGGTAACTTGTTAGATCTTGCAGTTGGAGTCAGTACACCTAACAAAACTGCAAAAAAGTATATAAAAGTGTTTTAAAGGGAGCTTTAAAAATTTGGGGAATGTCTTAAGATATTACTAGAAAACCAGACTTTTTGAAAAAGTCCGGTTTTCTAGCAACACCCGGATCCTAGCAACACCCAGGATAGATGGCAGTGTGTTGCAGTATGGGGAGGCAGTCGAATGTAACATTATGCTGCACTTTAGTTTAAGCACTAGTATGCAAATCAAAAGCCTACTGATGGCGTTTTTAAATATCTTGGTTACTTAATGGACAAGCTATTTCTGCTTTTTTGTATCCAAAGTTTTAATTCCCACCATCACCACCCCAAGGTATCTTCCTGTTCTAAACCAGCATGGTCTTTGGGAGTGAGTCACATATACTGGGCTCCCCTTGTTTCTGTATCAATAAGTCCTGAGACAAAGGGAGCTTCTCACAGCAATATTTGTGCAGTGAGGGACTGCTCAAATTTGCCCTCCCTCCTAGACAAATTTCCTCCTGCAAATGCCTCCTCAGGGCACCCAAGTTTTCCTCCCTCTTGTCTTGACTTCCTTGTAAATGAACCTGATTGAGCGGTGGTTGGAAGAAAGTGGAGGTGATTTGGGGTGAGGAGGCATTTGCAGAGCTGGAACTGAGAGAAGGGTAATCTATTTAGCCATTAAATCCTCGACACGCACAGATTTGGAGGCCTGTCCTCTTGCCTTGGTTCCTCCTGATTTTCATCAAACTCAATCTCTATACTTTTGGGATTGTGGCCTGAACACTTAGATGTGCTTAAACATCTCACAGACATTTTTAGGATGTCTACTAGAATGTGAAATGCTCACTTGATGTGAGTTGCTGGGTGCCAGTACTGTTTGTGAAAAAGGTTCTCAGGATTGCAATACAAACAATGTGCAATATGCTTTTATACTAGTTAGTTCAATGTATGTGCAAATGTATAGTGGTGACCGTAAAAGTCATCCCTTTTGCTTTTTAAGTTATTTCATCCTCCATTTCAGTGGTTCTGAACCTGTGGATCCCCAGATGTTTTGGCCTTCAACTCCCAGAAATCATAACTGCTGGTAAACTGGCTGGGATTTCTGAGAGTTGTAGGCCAAAACATCTGGGAACCCACAGGTTCAGAACCACTGTTTTAGAGAGAGCATTGTTGAAGAGGAAATGTGGGGTTGGTTTTTGGAATGGGAGAAACCTTTCCCTTTCTCATAGCCTGTATGATGATTGTGAGTTTATGGTGTCTCTAAAATAAATGTTGCCAGCTTGAGCCCCTTGAATGTATCGGCCTACAGTGGTTCTCACCCTGGGGTCCAAAGATGTTTTTGGCCATCAACTCACAGAAATCCTAACAGCTGGTAAACTGGCTGGGATTTCTGGGAATTGTAGGCCAAAAACATCTGGGGACTCCAAGTTGAGAACCACTAGCCAACAAGTGCCATCACTTCCAGCACCAGATAAAAGTAGGTTGAAGTAGGGAACAGTCTCTGCCAGTGAAACTTTTTAACAATATATGTAAGAAATCAAAAGGAGGAGAGAATGGTTTCATTGAGCTTATTTGTTGTTACAAATTTTAATGGGACATTTTTGTATCAAAAATAATGCATGGAGTTGTGTTTTACACTCTTTTTAATACTTGTGTACAGCCTGATATGTACGCGACTGTTTTGAAGCAGACATTTGTTACCCGAGTGTGTAAAATTCCACTAGGGAAACTCTTGCCTCCAGTATGTTCATGTTGCGAAACCTTTTAGAGAAGTCTTTTTAAAAAAATGTCTCCATTTTGAACTCCATCTGAAGAAAAGTTACTCAATAAACAACACAGAACACTACTGTACTTTTGTATGTGTGTCCTTTAACAGAAGGGGGAAATCTACTGAGTTTGATGCCCTCAAAAGTTGACCTTTAGTAAAGTTCCACCATTCCATCATCCGTCTAGCAACTTCTGATGGCTACACAATTCCTACCGCAGCCTACATTGATTACTGATACACATATTGAAATAATTGAAGTGTACAGGTATTTGCTAAGTGATAAGAAAACATTGCAAATGAAACTTCCTATTCACATTCATACATTTTCACCACATAATAGCTCAGACAAATGCTGATATAGTACCCAATTATAAGATTTGTTTATAGCACTTCTGTATGCTTATAGCAGTCATATAATAGAAGATGTCTGCTCCTGGCTACTGTTTTATTCAGCCATGTTCATATATGGCACTTGAACATAAGCTGAAAAACCTGTTTCAGTGGTGGCACTTTTTACCTACATCCTGTGTACAGGTTAGCAATGGGGGAAATCGGTGACTTTACCATCAGTCTTACCTAAACATCGCCAGTAGTTGGGTGCAGTGAGCATTGTACTCCAGCAACATCTGGACGGCCAAAAGTAGAGACTTCAAAGGCATTATTATTATTATTATTATTATTATTATTATTATTATTATTTCATTATTACCGGCTTTTTCTCTTTACGAGGAGACTCCACAATATATTGTCGAAGGCTTTCAAGGCCAGAATCACTGGGTTGTTGTAGGTTTTTCAGGCTGTATGGCCATGTTCTAGAAGTATTCTCTCCTGATGTTTCGCCTGCATTTATGAGACCTCAACCCCTGAGGATGCCAGCCATAGATGCAGGCAAAATGTCAGGAGAGAATGCTTCTAGAACATGGCCATACAGCCCAAAAACCAACAACAACCCAGAATCCACAATGTTATACTCAAATATAATGGCCAAATGCACATTCTTTGAATTAAAGTTTAAAGACTGGCATTTTGTTCAGTGTTTATAAAAACAGAAGCTAGACTTACAATCTCATAACTTTTGTGATTTCTTTTTACAGTTGTTCAATAACCACAAACTAGAATGGGAACTTTTTTGCCTAAAGTCAAAGGCTCTGGTACCTGTTCCTAGTGAGGCGCTTTAAGCCATGGTGGCACAATGGGTTAAAGCCTTGTGCCAGCTGAACTGCTGACCTGAAGGTCGGTGGTTCATATCCGCAAGACGGGGTGAGCTCCCATCTGTCAGCTCCAACTTCTCATGCAGGGACATGAGAGAAGCCTCCCACAGGATGGTAACACATCCAGATGTTCTCTGGGCAACGTCTCTGCAAATGGCCAATTCTCACACCAGAAGCAACTTGTAGTTTCTCAAGTTGCTTCTGACATGATAAAAAAGCACAAAATAATATAATTATATGACCATTGTGTCCCAAAAGTCCAAATACATAAATCTTTAGGCTCCCATGTAACAAATAGTCTGCTGGCTTGTTTCCATTTAAAATGTAGGATTTTATGTTATCTCACAAAAGCAAGCACATATGTTTGTGCCATATATATATGAGGACCCATATATATATGCACCACCAAATTCAGCTACCTTTGGCACATGGGACCATTTGTAAGCTGCATCCTTACAGAAATAAAAAGTGGCATTTTTAGCCCAAATATTTCCACTTTTTTGAGCTATACAACCACACATAGCAACATCTTGCCGTGATGTCCTATATGTTCACACATTAATTTTGAAATAAATACCACTTTTGATATTTTAAAAAATATGGGGTCTAACATCCTCTGCCAAGAAAAGGAGCTCTGCTGGCTTTTTTTAGTCAGAAGTTATGTCATTTTCTAAATTTGCAGAATCCCTTTTCTGTTTATTAATGTCAAATCTGTGCAACACTTGACTTCCGGTCAGAGAAAGAAGTTTAATGTTTTATCTCCAGTTGCTTCATCATGCTACAAAGCACAGATTATGGGCCCAAATTTTGTACAGTGGTTTCAAGCCACATTTTTGGTTTGTCTAGCTAGCATGCATGATCAGAAAAACAGTTTGTAGGAGGGGACAATCAAAAATAATTATTCAAAACTGAGGACAATATAGATATAAGTCAAAACAATGCATTCATTGGGTCTACAAATGTTGTTCTGCTAGGGACCGCTTGTGTATTGGGAGGGATTGTGACACTTCCCGTTGGCTGGGCTGTGTCTAGACAGTAAAGGAGCCAGACAAAAGTATTTATTTCTCATCCCGTCTGAATGGAGGAAAACAGCAGCTGTGCAAAGGTGCAACAAAGCAAATAGTTCTGCTTCATTTTGTGGGCAGAAGTCGACACTGATTTCAGATGGAAATGTGAGGTTCTTCCTGTTGGTCGGCAAGTGGGAGTTGTAAAGGATTTGTGCTTTGTGAGGAAGTGGTAGGAGCACAGGCTCAGCTCTGGTTGCTAAGTGACAGGCCTCGATTTAAGCCCTTGACACATGGCTTTCCTGTGAGAGAGAGAGTGGCATTTCAACATGTAGCCTCTTGTTTTTCTCCTGAAAGCTGAAAAAGAACAGAAGAATTCTGTAGTCTGACCCTTCTGAGTCCGGTAATAAGCTTATCTAAGGAGCTGTGCTTGCAGTTGGAAAAAGAGCCATATTCACAGCAAATAATTCAGCTCATGTCAAAGCACACTCGCAAAGAATTTGCTGCTCTTCTACGTAACAGAAGCCCAGTGGCTAAATGGCAATGGAGGGGACAGTCTTAAAATCCTTCTCCTGCAGCCCTGAGGAGGGAGAGCTTTCTTTTTCCTCTCCACAGAAGAGGTGTTTGCAGATTGCTTCCTTTTCTTTATTGGGCAATTCAAACAATGCAACAGTGCTTAATAATGTTAGCACTAGTTTCAAATGTTGTGTAGTGAAATTGCCTGCAGGAGAGTATAATGTGGAATGGCAACATTCAAAGCTATCATTCAAATTAGCCCCCCAACCTCCATCTATATTCTGAAATGGTCAATTTGAAGCCTCAACCCCTCTCCATGCTCCAGTTAGCCATTCAGCCACATATATAACTCAATTCCTCTAACACAATGGTTCCCAACCTTTTTTGACCAGGGATCACTTTGTCCAGGGACAGAGGCGGCCCTAGGTAATTTTCAACGGTAAGCAAACAGTATTTTGGCGCCCCCCCCCCCACCAATCATTGATATATATTTTCTATTTGTCATGGGAGTTCTGTGTGCCATATTTGGTTCAATTCCATCATTGGTGGAGTTCAGAATGCTCTTTGATTTTAGCTGAACTATACATCCGAGTAACTGCAACTCGCATATGTCAAGGTCTATGTCTGGAGGCGTGCCTGAAGACCCCGGCCTGTGCACCAAAAGTCACCTCTTCTCCTGACTTTCTCCTCAGCCATTGGGACCAAGAGAGAGAGAGAAAGAGGTGGAGATGCCCACCTTTCCTGAAGGTAGGCGCAAAAACAAAGGAGGGAGCGGAGGTGGGAGATACCTCCAGCTGGAGGGGCTCTCTCTCTCTCTCTCTCTCTTGGTCCCAATGGCTGAAGAGAAAGTCAGGAGAAGAGTGACTTTCGATGCACACGCTGGGGTCTTCAGGCACGCCTCCAGACCCAAAGCGGGCCAGGCAAGGGAGCAAGTGGAGATGCCCACCTTTCCTGAAGGTAGGCGCAAAAACAAAGGAGGGAGCGGAGGTGGGAGATACCTCCAGCCGGAGGGGCTCTCTCTCTCTCTCTCTCTCTCTCTCTTGGTCCCAATGGCTGAAGAGAAAGTCAGGAGAAGAGGTGACTTTTGGTGCACACGCTGGGGTCTTCAGACACGCCTCCGGACCCGAAGCAGGCCAGGCGTGGCGGCTCCGCCCCTTGGCCCACCCGCGGATTGGGGAGAGGAGAGGAGGCGGGTGGAGCACCGGGGGATCGGGAAAGGGAGCCGGTCATGGGGAAGGGATCGAACGCGGAGAACGATTGAGCACCGGCTCTGCTCGCGCACCCGGTGGGTGGAGCAGGAACGAGAGGGGCTAGGCGAGGCTCAAGGGCCCGGCCCCTTTGGGAAGAGGATCGCCCGGCAACGAGGCAAGAAAGCCGAGGCTCCCCCCGGACTGCTAGGGCTGTTGTGAGCTGAGGGGGCGCTCCTCAAGTGGCGGTCGAGGGGCATTTACAGAGGCGCCTCTGCACCCCTGGCAAAAAAAAAGTGTTCTGCGACCGCTTACTTTGCGTAATGGATGAGCCACCCCTGATGGTATTATTATTATTATCATCCAGGGAGGCCCTGCTCTCAGCCCCACCACCATCGCAGGGCCTTCTCTGTGGTGGTCCCTCAGCTGTTGAACTCCCTCCCTTATGAGGTTAGACCCGCCCCCTCCCTTCTGACCTTCCCGGAAGAAACTTAAATCCTGGTTATGGGCTCAAGCGCTCACAAAATAGTTGTTTTACTGGGAAGACAAGATTTTATCGGACTGTTTTGGATGACGATTTTAATCTGGCGAACTAGTTCTATTGCATATTTTTAAAAACTATTCAACCATTCAGAAACCGGGAGGCAAAAACCCACGAAAAAGTGAGTCCATGAAAAGTAAACTGCAAAATAGCAAGGGAGAACTATATTTTCCTGCCTGGCCAGAAAGAGTTGGACTGGTGGGCCCTTGGAGTCTCCCCCAACTCTATCATTCTATGATTTATTATTCCAGACCAAACTTGTGAAGTCAAACCTGGCTGGAGATCCCTTTCTTGGTGATTTGTAGCCCTTGCCAAGCATCTCTTGCCCCCCAAAAAGCTACAATTTGGCACTTTCGTGGCACGAATGACGCGGGTAGTGTGCCCATCTCCAAAAAACATTTGCATTGCATCTTCTCTTTGGAAAAGCTCGACCCAACTGGCACTGCGACCATCATCCAATGACCAATAAAGACCAAACTTGGCACACAGAGCCTCCATGACCCACTCTACATCCTGATGCAGTTCTAAGGGGGATGGACCACAGATGATGGGATTTGCAGCACCTTCACTCACTTACTGAAACCACTGCCACCCTCATCCAATGACTGATCAAGACCAA